CACCTTCTGAGCATGTACAGAAGGACGCACATTACATCTGGGAAGATGGGCGGAGCCTCCCACAGCTACCGCTACTGGTTCGGCTGAACTGGAAAGAACTGACTGAATACCACCTCTGCTGTCAGTACAAAGTCTTGTCATTTCTAGTATTAGAAATAAGACTTCAGGATCTCACTAGAACCTTCATTTTCATCCTGAAATTCTAGGAAATATAGCCTCAGTTCATCTTTGTGTCAATTTTTGGTTGTTGTGAAAATGGCACTTTTTGCTGTCTTCCTGCAATTATCTACAAATGTAACTGAATATTTTAGATGCCATTCTCTTCCACATGTGAAGTTGAAACTGCAGAGAGCAACCAACAAAGAAACAGACAAATAGAATAAAAACCCAAAGAGAACATTTCTTCTGAAATGACCTTAAAATGCTCTCCTTGTGTTACTCCCAGATTTTATGGAAGGCCATGTCCCTGTTTAAGATCTAATGTGTTTGGAGAGCAATAAAAAGCTCTTTGTTATTGGGGAGAATCCCTTTTATATGCAGCGAATTGGATCAATTTGACCCTGATTGTCTCTCTTCTCTTTTTGTCTGACTATTTCAAACACCAGGCTCTTGGCATTAACTTAAGGAAGAAGCTGATTGAACCATAGGCCTGACACTTGTCAGTAGTGGATAATGCTGGTTTCAATCTGTCATGTTCACACATAAATGAGCAGTGACAGAGATAGACTGTTGAATAGAAAAAGCAGTTTTACTGTGGCTAACCTTTCCATGTATAAATGCAGCCAGTAACAAGGCCTGAAAATAGCTTGTATAGCTGAGAAAGAACATTCTGAAACATATAACAGAATGATGTATTATCTCTTTGGCTATCAGAAATTGCCCCGTTAACAATGGGCACCTTCCTGAGTATAAAGATAAAGTGGACTTTCATTAGAAAAAATGACACAGACAGATTCACTTCAGTGTGAATTGTCAATACAATATTTAGTAGGTAGCCAATGTCACTCTGCTACCAGGGAAGAAAGCATTGCCCTGTCTGGAAGTTAAACAGCCTAGTTCTTTGACGAATTAGCTTTTTAAAAGAGAGAATAATATCAACTGCTTATTCCTTTTTAATCAACAGCAGAATACAAATTTTACCTTTTAAACATTTTACCAAATCTCATCAGGTAGCTCAAGAAATGCCCTCTGCCTTCCATTCAATCCAGCTAAAAGTTCAGTTGGAATACTGAGCCCTAAAAATAGAAGACGTGAAGAATGGAAAGTTGTTGTGATTTCTGCACACTTTTAGGATGCTGAAATCCCGTAATGTACAATAGATTCATTAAAATGAGATGTTTCTTTAAAAGCGAATTTAAATCTGCCACGGTTTCAGAGCAATTTGCATAAGTGTACGCACACACATCCCCTAAGTTTCTAATTAAATACTAATTAGTACTATCACCAGAATTGTCTCCCAGCCCTAGCTCCTCATGGCTTTGTCACTTTGATTAATGCATAGTCATTTATTAACTTATTTAACTAGCTGAGGTGCTTCATGACAAACCAGATTAAATTATTCTCATAACAGTCTTGTTACTAGGGAGAAAAAAAAGGAGAAGAATTTTAAACTTAATAAAAACTACCCTCAATAATCTTACAGCTTTTCTACAGCACCCTTAAAAGATGCTCCTTGTTTGATTTATAATGTATGGGGTTGTATAAAGTATCCATTAATAAAATTTATGTGTTCATTTAAGCAGGAGCTTTACAATGGTACTGTAGCCCTGAGTGCTTATTATTTAACTTTTGCTATAGTTATGAAAATAATTAATGTTCTGACTAGACAGGGTCTAAAATACCCACTAGAAAGAGATAATTAGAGGCATAAATAATGCGTAGGCCTAGCATGTTGGTTTAAAAAATATATATTAATTGTCTTTGCTTCCCAGTTAAACTTTATCAAAGAGGAACAGTTTATGTAGGCTGTTAGTTTTAAGACAAATAATGTTCCAGCTAATTTGAAGGTGGGGGATAGTTCAGTATGAAATAATGGGAGGTTTGTGAGTCTAAAGAGCACAAGAATTAAGGCTAAATGTTGTTTGTGATAAATATCGACAAGTCCACCCCGCACAAGGCAGGGGAGTTATAAAGACAAAGCTACATACAAAATCCCCCTTCCCCATTGGTTTTGTAAATACCTTCATGGTGCAAAACGGAATAATAAGTGTAATGCTCTTTAGTATATTCCAGTTTAATATTTGCCGCCAAGGTATGGGAACAAAATCCCCAAGGTATGTCGATGTGATAACATCAAAGTAAAGGACAAAGTAATTCCTCATCAAGAGAGAGATCCAGTGTGAATTTTTCGCCCCAACTTCAAAACACTGGACAAATGGTGATCCATTAAAATAAACTTAAAATACTTTAGTAAATACTATTATCAAGTATCATATTTCAGTATTGAATAACACCATGCACTAAGATAAAATTTAAATATTTAATATTTATCAAGGTAACAAAATAAATCTAGATATAGAACTTTTGTCCTCCAAAGCTTTTGTCCTCCATACAGTGGTACTGTATGGTATATCACATTCATATTTATTTTGAATTGGACAACAGGACAAAGAAATCTTCAAGCAAAGAGTCTTAGATATCAATATTCAATGACATCCACCATACATTATGATTCCTAAATTCTTAAAATGTTCAGCCAAGAACAAAAGAGCATTGACAAAAGAATAATGCTTAACTATATGGGCTTGACACAGTGCCAGGAATGGTCTTTATCAGGATAAGCTTTGAATTGCTGTACTCCATGGTAGATGCAGGTGATTCTAGAAAATAATATATCAGGGATGGTAGTTCATAGAAGACATCATATATTTTTTTATCATTTATATGTTTTGGTGAGGATCCACTATCTAGATCCATTACTAATTAGAATAGCTCCCTATGGTCTTCATCTTAGATTGTCTTATTTCCTTCAGGAGGTAAATGTACATGTTGTTAGCCATTGTCAAGTTTGCCCAAATGAGAGATAATTTTCTAGGATAGATCATTTACAAAGGATGTGAACTTATTTACACATATTTTAACATGGTGAAACACTTGTACCTATTCTGTCATACTGTTGTTGATGTGACATTTTTTAAAAAATTTTTGAGGTGGTCTTTTGACTAATCAATAAAAATCTACAACTTTTACCAGAAGATGGCCATATTGATTTGCTAATGTATCAAGGTCATGACTGGATACTAGAGATAATGAATATGAAGGAGTTCACTTTGCTTTTATTACCAAAGACCCATTGCCTGGTGCAAAAGGCATAACCAGATAACATCATTGGAGTTGTGATCCAATGGAGTGTGCATTGGAGTAGTTTCTTAAGCTATCAGAAAACTATGCCAACATAAAATGTGCTGTCTGATTGCTAAGCCCTCAGCCATAGTAATAAGCACGTATCAAGTCCTGATATTACTATTTTAAATAGTCCATGTTTGCAAATTTCCATTCTAATATTTCCTTTTCCCCCAGCCATCATTCACCAATAGGAAACAACTACTAATAACTTTCTGTAATGTAGTGCAGGCAGAGCTGGGTGAATGTAGGTGGGTGCTTGGAATAACATGTTAATACGTTACCCAATAAACAGGTAACAAGCAGGGAGATTGTCTGTGCCTGTGTATCTTCTAAAATGCACTAAGCCCATTGCCGTACATAAAAGCAATTGTCCATGAGCTTTTTCTAATACACTGTCCATCAATCCTAATAAGAAAAATTCTAGTTTCAACTGAATACTAATTTTAAGAAGAGGACAAAGATGAAGCAGGACAGAAGGATTGTTCACTAGTGTTCCAAGAGTAATGTCGTTGACAATAAAATTGGTTCTGCCATTGTTTACTGCAGTACTAGAAGTATTCTATGGATGGCTATGGAGCCAGAACAGAGCAGCCAAAATCAGGCACCTCCTTCCCCAGAGTAACAGAAACAGGAAAATGGTCAGCCATGCAAAAATCTTTGTTGGCAGAAGTGGTGGAAAACCTGAGATGTGCCAGGATAATTATTCATAGAGGGTGGCACTTTTTCCTTGTTTAAATGAACCTTTTGTGCAGCACAAGACTTTTCCAAGAGAGTACTCGTCATGGTTTGAATTCTCAGATCCGTGAGAATTCATGGTTATGAGCATTGCATAATATTATGTTTTCTTGGAGAAAATTGATTGAGCTCCGTGACATAAAATGCTTGCATATGTGTTTGTATGTGCCTGTGACTATGTGTATCGCTCTGTGTGCCTATCTGTGTATACACCATTTGAGAATAAATTAAGATTGAAAATACGAATATCTCATACTGCTTTCTTAACTTCTGCAGAAATCTCATTAGGCCTAGGTGTCAGGCCTGCAGCCATATTCCTTTTGGATTTTTGGCCTGCCACACTTTCTATTATTCTACTATGCCTTTTCTATTGTGGGGAAATGGGAGGGGGATTGTACGGAGTTAGATGCTATGTAGCCAAAACAAATTCCTTTCGAGAAAGCCAAGGTCATCCTTTGTATCTGCACCTCTGCACCTGACCGGAACTGGATGGGTGGAACTGCCAGCATGGCAGTGGAAGATTGGATCATGTGATGGACTTGTGGCTGTGAGTGCAAGATTTTAAACTTTCAATTGGGTGGGGAAAACTCGGAAGCTTTCAGATTCAGGTTTTCCCAGATGTGCCAACATGGCTCTCTTAATAAATTGAAACTTTGAACAATACTTTGCCTTGGACTCTGATTTAATTTTGGATGCTATTTTGAACCCTGACACTAGGGTTCCTGTGAAAAGCATGTCAGTTCTATTGGTATCTTTTCTAGCTTCACTATGAAAACCGATAGTTTCATTCCATCTGTTTTCCAATCACTTGAACAAGCTCAATCTCTCCCTTGTATGTTGGATGGAATAATGGAATAAGATGAAATCTTTCTTTCTTCTTAATATATATATTTCTTCTTTATATCTTATTTTCCATTTAGACACACTACCGGAATGTGATGGGCTACCATTAATCCTGTGTCTAGTCTTCAGTAGACTTGCTACAAGGCAAGCTATATTGAGTATTTTTTCCTAAAACTGAGAAACTACTTTGTTGAACAAGATTTCAAAGGGATCATCCTCAAGACTCATTACGGTACACAGGAGATGCAGACCAAATGATCCATCTCAAAAAACATTCATCACCATCATCATGGCAAATTAAAGTTAGAATCCTTGGTAGTCTCATTGTCCTTAAGTCTTATTGAAATCAATGTCAAATGTTCTTCATTTCATGGACCCTAACTGCAAATTTGCTCAGAAACTGGCTTATTGTCAAAATACACTCTAAGATTCTTTTGTATTGGTGAATAGCTTGCTTTTTTTTGCTTGCTTGGAACAATCTTATACAAATCTACATCATATCAGATTTCAAGATGGAGATAATGTCTCTTCATAGATGAGCACAGATAATTCATAAACCATGATAGAGAAAGGGTCAGGTAGCACCAACTTCTTCTATATCAATATTCTATTTGAAGCACTGTAACACCTAACAAGATCTGAATAAGATTTTTCCCAAGTATTGAACTTTTCTATGTTCTTTTGCCTTGGGATTTCCCTTTGATACTAAATAGATTTTCAAGGGTCTTAGGTTGAGGAGCATGTGGTAGCTGACTATGACTAAGAGAAAGAGAGAGCAAGTGAGCTGAAACAAAGCTGTCTATGAAGCTTTTAAAAAAATGTTCTGAATCCACTGCATTAAATGCTACTTAATGGACGGACACGGTGACTAAGTGGCTAAGATGCTGAGCTTGTCAATCAGAAAGGTTGACAGTTCGAATCCCTAGCACCGTGAGCTCCTATTACTTGTCCCAGCTTCTGCCAACCTAGCAGTTCGAAAGCATGTAAAAATGCAAGTAGGAAAATAGAGACAACCTTCGGTGAGAAGGTAAGAGCATTCTGTGCGCCTTCGACGTTTAGTTATGCCGGCACATGACTATGGAGATGTCTTTGAACAGCGCTGGCTCTTCGGCTTTGAAATGGAGATGGGTACCGCCCCCTAGAGTCAGGAACAATTAGCACATATGTGCTAGTGCTTAATGGAGGGAAATTGAGTACATTTACATAATTTGTATGAATTGGAATTCATTTTCTATTCATCAGAATGTCTGATGTGTCCAACCCAAAAATACAATAGTACTTTCACTTTTTATCTTTAAATATTTTTAGCGCTAAAGTGTGAGAAGGGGTATTATATGAACTGGAGGCTGCACTGTAGAATGTATTTAAGTCGACCCTTTCTGCATTAAAAGGTGCCCCATTTATTCTTTGTTACTGACATATTCGAGATGGAATGCCATTCCTTTAATATCAGGCACATCTGGCAACTACACAGAAAGATGAGAAATTTGGTTAAATATCACATGACCAATAACACTAGCACTCTGCCCAGGCTGGATAGCCATATGTTCTCCATTCCAAATTCCTTTCATCCTCCTGTTACAAAAGTCATCAGCTTAGGCAGAGGAGGTGAAAGGCTGTGCCGTCTGTGATACTAAACCTTAAATGCAAAGCTTTCACATTTGGCTTCTCTCACTTTTGTTAACTGGTGCGGTTTTGCGTCTGCCTTTGCAGCAAGCAAGCCATTGTCTGCAAAATGGAGATTAATGTTATTGACTTACTGTATGGGGATGCTGTAAGAATTAATGAGATTTGTGTGTTGACAGAATTGGAATAATCTTAAGGCTGAAGAAAGGTTTCTCATAAAAATATAGTTCTCATGCTTTTTAATGTGTTGTTAGGTTTCTTTATGTTAATATCTATTATAAGATATTAAGTAATAACATATTACTCTTGCTTTTCTTTATCTTGTCTTATTTGCATGTCTGCTATTGGTAGCATCCTTTCCTTCTTTATTCTACAACAGCAGCCCCCAATCTTTTGGGCACCAGGGACTGGTTCAGTGGAGAAAAAACTGTTTTGTGGGCTGGAGGGGGTGGGCATGGTTCTGTATGCTGCCTGCAACCTATGAATGGGGCTTCACTTGTTTGCATGGCCCCAGTTGCTGGCATGAAACCAGGGCAGGTCTCTGGAACAAATGTCTGAAATGCTACTCAAAGAACAATCAAGAAAACCTCTAATTTCAACCTGGTACAATTTGAAAGTAAAGGGATTTATGAAAATCTAAAGAGGGTCCTATATTGTCCAATGTTGGGACTACCACATAAACAAGGGGTCCCTGGTGCTCTCTGAGCTTGCTTGTTTTCTTGAAGATGTTTCATTGCCCTAACTAGGTAACATCATCAGGGCTCTGATAATGATACTGTAAAGGAGCACTGATGATGTTACTTAGTTAGGGTAACGAAACATCTGCAAGAAAACAAGCAAGATCAGAGAGCACCAAGGACCCCTCATTTCAACCCCTCAGCTATAAATATTCTCCTTTATTGGTACCATATAAATATCTAGAATAATATATAAATTAAGACACCATCTATAGCAAGGGTGTCAAACTCAAGGCCCAGAGGACAGATACAGCCCGGGGGGGGGGGTGCTTAGATATGGCCCGCAGTGCCTCTGCCAGCAAAAATAGAGGGTTACAGGAAGTCATCACAGGCAAAAACAGAACTCAGGAACCTTTTCATTGGCAGAGCACTTGGGTCACCATAGGCGCCCGCCCAACGTAATTAATGCTGAGCTGGCCAAGCCCCCCCCCAGCCATGCCCCCCCCTGGTCCCCTGAGGTCAAACACAACCCTGATGCGGCCCTCAATGAAATCGAGTTTGATTCTGAAATTATCCCAGTCTAAGTTAAATTTGGAGTCCTACCTGATTATTACTATCTATGAAGTACAGAAGAAAAAGGGAATAGAGACAAGATAATAAATTAGGGAGGCAGAAGAATAGTATTTCAATTGCTGATTGGCTCACATACTAAAGATGCGCATGAAATATAAAATAGGAAGAGACTGTACATACCAGTTGTAAAAGTGTCCTTTTGTCTAAAATATATCTATCTTTTTGAACCAAAAATAATTTTATGAGAATCTGTAGAACGGCATGCAATAAGGAAGAGATTGTCTCATTTTTATATATTTTTTAACTTGAATTTACATCATTAGGAAACAACATACAGACATTTGAACAATAATACACAGCTACAAGAATTTTACACTAAGCTACTGAATGGATCATCCAATAATCAAACAACTCTCCTCCCCCAGCCTTTCAAAATCTGCTCACACTCCTAATCTCTGCCAACATCTCCTGACAAAGAGACTCAGTATGTGAAAACTGTAGGCAACAACTCTGTAAAACGATGTAACTTCCTGCTAATTGTGTCCTTCTGATGTACTGGCCTGCAATTTCTAGAATCCTCAGCCATTACGTCTGCTAACAAGAATCACCCTTGTATCAGAATATACAGTATATATCATTGCTCCCAATTTTAAACTGAATAACTTTAAGAAGCCTACCCGGAGTTGGCATTTGCTCTCTTGGCTGGCGAGAGCCCTTTGCTTTCTTTGTTTACAGGAGACACCTGCTTAATCTAATCACTCTAGGGAGGAAACCAAAGCACAGTAACATTTGCCCTCTAGCATTTCTGCCTCCCACCACTGTTAACAGTTTCTCCAGCTATGCTTAGCCATCCTGAAGTGGGCTGAGATCCCACTTGTTAATCCCACATCAAATGTCAACTTGCTGGAGAATTTGACTCCTGAACTCTCTTAAGGTTGTGAGTCAGCCATTGTCTCAATTTATGCAGCAAGCCATGAGTAGCAGAAAGGCTGGAGAATTATCACTTAACTCAGAGAAAGTTTCCACCATTCACTGGGCTAAAGGACTGTGTTCATAACGTCATGGTTGCTTCGTTTCTACACCCTTAAAGTTTTATCTGAGGGCAGTTCTCTCTGGCATCAAATGATTCCTATAAACAAAACACATTTCTCCTAGTCAGTTAGCGGTTTCTCCCTCCCCCCCATGGACTTTAAAGGATGACTTTTATTTTTAACTTCTCAGTTGGAAAATATGTGTCAATTTAATTAATGAAATCTACCCACCCTCAGTCTTACCTACAGAAACTGCATCTGTGCTATTTTATGTTACACACAGTTTTTATATCTTATGAGTCACTAGATACGTAATAAATAAATAAAGTCAAAATTGTGATCTAAGCAATTTTGAACATTATTCAAATCTCATAGGTGTTAGTAGAGGAGACGTGTTGCATAATCCTAAATAAGTAACTTCCACTTTGTCGTGTGGCTTGCAGCTATGGGACTATGCAAAGGACAGCAATTTTCAACAAGTTTTTTTTTTCTCCCTCTCAAGATGCACAGGGGACCTAAATAAGGCATTGAATAGAATAGAATTAGAATAGAACAGAACAGAATAGATTAACAGAGTTGGAAGGGACCTTCTAGAGGTCTTCTAGTCCAACCTAGGCAATTGGTTCCGATGGCATCAAGGTAAAAGCAATGATCTCACGATCTCTAGAATCCTAGACTTAAGCCTAGAGCTACCAAGGACATCAGATTCAGTGCCCCATTAAGAAAAAATAACACTCTAGCCCTGCCCTCTTTTCTTTCTCCCTGAAATTAAGATTCTAGGCATAGTGGCAGCTTGTCTGTATAATGCCCAGAAACATATTTGGAAGAAAGGGAAAGAGAATGAGAAAGAGAAGTTGGTGCTATTTCTTGCAAGGGAAAAGAGGGGAGGAAAAAAAAAACAGACAATATGTACAAGACTGAAGGAGAATAATTAAGAGAAAGCTAGGATAGGAAATCTGGAACGAAGCAGTCTGTCCTAAAATGAGTTTCTGCAGCTTGCCTTCAAACCGGACAGCACTGCTGATTAAAAGTGCATATACAAGGGAACCAAGGCTTTGTGTGTTTAGCTAAGTTTAAAGAAAAAAAATTCTACCATTTGATTGGGTGTTTTAAAAAGCAAGCAAGCAAGCAAAGGAATTACGTTCAGTTCTCCCTTCCTCTTTTCCAAAGAGTTTTGTCACCTTGGATTGAAAAGGGTGACTATACCTGAGGAACTTGGTTGAAACGGGCCTTGGTTGAAATGGGCTTAAACCTCCCCCCCTCCTTCCCTGCAACAACTTTAATACCTCAAATGAAATACAGTTTTTCAAAAAATTAAAAAGGTGGTCTGATCATTCTAAAAACCTTAAACATAAAATAGCTATGATAGCCCCATTCAAAGCAAGGACAGGGCACACCATTATAAAACTTAGATAGGCTGAATGTCAAAACTGGTGTTTTCTCACTGTAACAAACTTCTTCATAAAGTTCTTGATTGAAGTTCCGGGTTTACCACTGTGCAGAGATTGTGGTTATGTTTGCTTGTGTGTGTTTATGTGTATTTACTTGTATATTAGACCATGTTGCAGGAACATTTTCTTTGTGATTGTTACATATTGCATAAGCCTGAACTAATGGACACCCCACTCTCTCCTTTCTACTGCTACCTTGCTTCCATTAAAACTGATTTAAAAGTTTGGGAGCCAATCATAAACAAGCCTTCAATATATGATAGATCAAGGATATCAAGGCAGACCAGCAATTTGCTGACTCTGATGTTTTGGATTTGAGCTCTCTCAGTTCCTTCCTATTGGCCATACTACCTGGGCATGATGCAAGCTTAATCTGTTTCAGAATCCTATGGATTAGAGAAGTGGAAAATCTACTGCATTACAGAGGATTCTGAAATTTAATTCTAAATATTATTCAAGTGGAGAGAAAGTATAAGCAAATTTACAATATTCATTTTTCACTTTACTGGAGCCTAAAATGTGTAAGTTAAAAAAAAATATTGGGTCATTTCCTTTACCACTCAGAATGTTGGATGTAATTC